GAACATGAGGGGCAGGAATTCATCCACCGGGATCATTTTTCCCAGGGGTTCGGCCGCCAGAAGTTTCCGTGCGCCGCGAAGGGAGAGAGCGTAACCCAACGTCCAATAGGAATAGCCCGGGCGGAGCAGCTGCCGCACACCGGGAACGCCGCGCTCCGCCCGCTCTGGCTCCAAACGCTTCCGGCCCAGGTAGCTGGAAATGGCATCAATGGGATTTGGGGTTATTGGGATCAATGGGATGGGTTTTGGGGTCATTGGGATCAATGGAGTCAATGGGATCAATGAGGTCATTGGGATCAATGAGATCAATGAGATCAATGAGGTCAACGGGATCAATGAGGTCAATGGGATCAATGGGACCAATGAGGTCAATGAGGTCAATGGGATCAATGAGATCATTCGAATCAATGGGGTCACTGGGATCAATGAGGTCAAGGGGATCAATGAGATCAATGAGGTCATTGGGATCAAATGAGTCAATGGGATCAATGAGGCCAATGTGATCAATGAGATCAATGAAGTCAATGGGATCAATGACATCAATGTGATCAATGGGATCAATGAGGTCATTGGGATCAATGGCATCAATAGGGTCAATAGAACTGTTGAAATCAATGAAGTCAATGGGATCAATGGCGTCATTGGGAACAACGGCATTAATGGAACCAATGGGATCAATGAGATCAATGTGATCAATAGGATCAATATGATCAATGGGATCAATCTGATCAATGGGATCGGGACAGAGCGTAACCCAACGTCCAATAGGAATAGCCCGGGCGKAGCAGCTGCCGCACACCGGGAACGCCGCGCTCCGCCCGCTCCGGCTCCAAACGCTTCCGGCCCAGGTAGCTGGCAACGGGATCAATGGAGTCAATGAGATCAATGAGATCAATGATATCAATGGGATCAATGGAGTCATTGGGATCAATGCGATCGATGAGGTCAATGTGATCAATGAGGTCAATGGGGTCATTCGAATCAATGGGGTCATTGGGATCAATGAGATCAATGAGGTCATTCGGATCAATGGCATCAATGGGGTCATTGGGATCAATGAGATCAATGAGGTCATTTGGGTCAATGAGATCAATGGGATCAATGTGATCAATAAGGTCAATGGGATCAAGAGGTCAATGGGATTAATAGTATCAATGGGATCAATGAGGTCAATGGGAGCAATAGGATCAATGGGATCAATGGGTTCATTGGGATCAATGAGGTCAATGAGATCAATGGGATCAATGAGGTCATTGGGATCAATGAGGTCATTGGGATCAATGGCATCAATGGGATCAATGAGATCATTCGAATCAATGGGGTCAATGGGATCAATGAGATCAATGAGATCAATGGAGTCTTTGGGATCAATAAGGTCATTGGGATCAATGGGATCAATGTGCCCAATTGAGTCATTAGGATCAATAGCATCAATGGCATCAATGAGGTCAATGAGGTCAATGAGGTCAATGTGATCAGTGAACCATTAATATCAATAAAGTCAATGGGATCAGTGGAATCAATAGGATCAATGGAACTATTGAAATCAATGAGGACAATGGAATCATTGGGAGCAATGTGGTCAATGTGATCAATATGATCAATGGGATGGGGACAGAGCGTATCCCAACGTCCAATAGGAATAGCCCAGGCGGAGCAGCTGCCGCACACGGGGAACGCCGCGCTCCGCCCGCTCCAGCTCCAAACGCTTCCGGCCCAGGTAGCTGGCAACGGCATCAATGGGATTGGGATCACATTTGGGGTCCTTGGGATCTATAGGGTTGAGTTTGGGGTCATTGGGATCAATGGGATTGGGTTTGGGGTCATTGGGATCAACGGAGTCAATGGGGTCAATGAGATCAATGGAGTCATTGGGATCAATGAGATCAATGCGATCAATGGAGTCAATGAGGTCAATGAGGTCATTGGGATCATTGAGTTCAATGAGGTCATTGGGATCAATGGCATCAATGGGATCAATGAGATCATTCGGATCAATGGGTTCATTGGGATCAATGAGATTAATGGGATCAATGAGGT